GGACCTTTCTTGTGGAAAATGCTCCTCAAGATTGTAAACACACATAAAACTAGTATAGAGCAGTTTCAATCAAAACAGGCATTCTTACTTGTTAACTTTAATATATCCAGTTTTAAATGTTTTTTTTAACTAAAACTCAAATACAAAAAAATAATTAGTACAAAAATTAAATCACTGAGTGAATCAACATTTTTTTTTCATTACCTTAATTATTTTTTCATTACCTCTATGGCGTTTGCTAATTTATTTACATTATTTCTATAAAGTATACTAATTCATTTATGTTATTTCTATGGTGTATATTAATTTATTCAGTTTTTATTATTAAATTTTAGTTTAAATTTTTTAGATTTAAGCAAATGATAATTTCTTATTTATTTTTTCTTTTTTCACTTTATCTTACACTTTCTTTAAATTTTGATTCTTTAAATTTTTCTTTAAATGACAACAACTTTTTATCTATTTTACTTATTTATATATTTTTTATATATATTAACTATATATATTTAAATATTACGGTTTTTGTAAATACGTAAGAAAGGAACTCGGTAATAAAGCTAAATAAGCCTTCTTCTTGTCCCGCCAATATTTTTTTATTTATTTATATGCTTCAAAACTGTTCATATTATTATATGGCAAAAAATAAACAATAAAAAAAATTCTGTATTTGCTTTAAAAACTTGAACACACATTTTATTTTTTTCATTTAAAAAAATAAAATTGCATTTAAAACAAAGAATTAAGTTATATAGACTATATATGACAAAGGCAAGTAGTCAAAGGACTTCAATTTCAACTTAAAAACTTTAAATTCTATTGCTGTTCTAGTTATGTAGCCAAATACAAATCACCTGACAACAATCTTTTTATTTCATAAATTATTATTTTATTAATTCACGATTTTTTTTTATTCACCTGCTTTTTTGGTCTGTTAACTTTTTCAGTTACCGCTACTAAGACCTTTTCCCCCTCGATTGAACAATGTTATCGAGTTACTCTTATGTTTTTTTTTTAGAGTTGTCTTTTGTAGTTACCTGTGAAAATGGTAGCAAATCCGGAACGACTTTAATTTGTAATTTCGATTCAGAGATCATTGATAACTTGATATGTATTTTCAATTTTTTTTTTAATAATTACAAAAACCTATTCAATCACCGCGAGAAAACAATTGAATCTTTTTGTGAAAAGGTTTGGGGTCTAAGAAGACTTAATAGTTGCTAACAATCTGGCTGCTTGCGCAAGTTTACCATTTTGCATCACCAGTTAAAATTTAGACCTAACGCTGCAATACCAAACATTTTTGCAGCCTTGGTCATTTTTGTTCTGTTAAATTTCTATAAAAGAATTTTTCAAAATTTATTAGAGAATTGTGATCTTGTTCTCCGTGTAGGCCCGTCTTTACCCATATCCAGCAAAGGCAACCGGCGCCAGAGTGTTTGGAGAGACCAGCATGCAAGGATTCAAACTTTTTTACCTAATTGAAAAAATTTTTACAAGGTTTCACAAATATAATCAAAGTCACTGTATTGTACTAAATAAATTGTTGACAGTTACCTTTTACCACATGTAAATTTATTCTAATTATACTAGCTTTAATTTTTTGTCATTTTTTCTTTTATTCATGACATAGCTTGCATGGGGATTTAATTGTCACCCACATTATAATTTTTTTCTCAGAACTTATAATGTTGGTTGTTGAAGAATGTCTATTGGGATCAAGCTTTAATATTCCTTTTTTTTATGTTTTTAATTAATGTTCCTAGAAGTTATTGTTTTCCGTACAACTTCGATTTAAATTAGGGGGTAATAAAGTAAGCATTACTTCGTGTATTAAGGGTTTTCTTAATTAAAAATATAATGTCACTTAGTAAGCTTTTGTTAGGATTATTTCTTATTTTAAACATCTCTATAATTCAAAATTGCAAGTTTCTTCGATGTACTGAGTTATCTTTCTCAGTACCTTCTTATTACCTTGAAATACTTTTGACCAAAAGTTATATGATGCGTTTATTTTTGTTTTTTGGTATCAATAATGAAAGCAAGCTCATAATTCTCTCTTGTTTTAGGTCTTTGTCCGTCTTCCAGATATTCTGTTGCAATCACACTCAATGCCCAAAAATTTTTAAAAATTTACCCAAACAACGCGAGTAAATACTTTCCAAGAGCTTTATTTCAACTTCGTTTCAAATTGAAATTGTAACTGGGGTAATTAGAAAACTAAATCATCTAGATTTACTTCTGGTTATTTAATCAAAGAAACTTGAATCCAAATTCCCTAATGATAATGATATTCTAAAGTTGATTCTCTCTGTTGCTGTTACAAATTATACCGGAAAACAATACTTTCCAAAGGTGAAATACTGCTACAAGTCTAACAACGGATAAAATACACGTAGTAGTGGTTCGCGAGGAGTATTTCTGTAGGCTCCAAACACTATTCTGCACTCATGTTTGTGTTTATTGTAGATTTTCTTAAGTTTTGTATAGCCAGTACAAGCTTACACAATATTACAGTAAGAAAAATACCTGTAATAAATGCAAAATACAATTTTTTAAGGGATGTTACATTTAGAAAAGGTTTAGCCTTAAACATTATTGCGATATTTTTTAAGAGTGCTGTTTCAAAACTATCTATATGTGAATGCCACAGTTAATCAAGTTTTACTCCTAAAAAGTTTACGTATGATTTCCTTTTAATATAAGTAATATTAATTATAAGTTTTGGTAATTTTAGAGGAATGTTTTCTGATTTATTTACTTTATGGAAAAGTATATATTTTGTTTTATCCACATTTATTGAAAGTTTGTTACTTACGAACAATTCATTAACTTTACACAACTGTTCATTAACTATTTTAAAAAGTGTTTTAACAACTCTGTAAGAACAAATAAGATTAGGATAATTAGCAAACAAAATTAGGTCTAAAAGATTTGTTGCTAAGTATAAGTCATTTATGTATAATAAAAATAAGAGTGGTCCTAAATGAGTGCCATGAGGAACCCCGTAAGTTATGGAATATGGAAATGTCTTATATTGATCATAATATAAAAATTGGTTTTGATTTGTCAGATACCCTTTAAACCAAAATGAATTTTTGTTTTTCACTCCGTAGTTCACAAGTTTTTTTATTAGTATATTGTGATTTACGTTATCGAAAGCTTTTGACAGATCAATGAATACTCCTAATGTAAAACAGTCATTATCAAAGGCGTTAGATATTTGATTAGAAAGTTCCACTATTACATGTTGAGTGGAATTTTTTTTTTTAAACCAAATTGCTTGCAATACAACATGTCATTCTACATATTATTCTCTCTAGCAATTTTGAAAAGCAAAGTAGTCTACACAGCTAACACAAAACGTTTAACAAACGTTGCGAACGCTTTATGAACGTTCATAGAATGTGCTCGAACGTTCGTCGAACGTACTTGAACGTCTTGTACTAGCAGGGTAGATATAGGTCTATAACTTAAAATATTCAACTTATTTCCAGATTTAAAAATTGGTGTTACGGGCAATTTTTAGTTTGTCAAGAACAATACTGTCTTAAATGAAAGATCAAAAACATGAAATAAAGAAGGTTCAATAATATCAAATACTGATTTGACAATATCAATACTAATTTTATCAAAACCTTCACCTATTTTACTTTTGAGACTGTTAAATGCAGCTCTCACTTCGCTAAGTTTTAAACTAGTTTCGTCCATAAGTTTATCATAAGTTTTAAATATATACCTTATATACCATAAACATATAAATATATACCATTCGGCGTTCAAACTCCGAAGATGAGTTTTTATCTATGTTGTAAAAAAAAACTTATGACATCAAAAAATCATCTACATTTTACAATGTAATTTAATGATTTAATAAAAAGCAAATATACATTGTAGAAGCAGTTATAAAAACCAGTTTTTTCTATTACGCAACATAACAACAATTAAGTTATGTAACGTGCTTAACCAAAAATTAATTTTAAAGAACTAAAAAAAATCAAAAAATTATGTGATAAAAAAATTGATTACGCGATAAAAAAAAAGTGTAATAAATTTTTTCAAAGATTGCAAAAAATTAAGCCCCCTTTTGGCTGGAGCCTAACGCAGTTACCTAGATTTGCCTAATCGCAAATGCACTTATGAATAGCTAACTAACATAATAACAACACTAATGTATTAAAATGACGCTTTACACAAATATATTTATATAATACTAAATTCGATATAAAATTTGTTCAAATTAAAAAAAAAAAATTATAAGTTAAAACAATTTGTTCACATGTTATCACCATTAATAATAATTGTTTTAAATTACAACCTGATATTAATTGTAAATAATACCTTGTAAGCATTTGTAACAACAAGAAGATAAAATGCTTAAAGTGTTTCTTTTTATGAGCATGTGGGTGAAAAAAAATTCAAAAACGTGTAAAAAACAAAAAATATTGGATTCACTTGTTCAAACAAATTAAAAAATAAATAAAAATAAATAATTCGACAAAATAATTGAACACACTGAGTTAATAAATACAAAAGCAAATAAAACTTTAAAAAAACTGTCATGTTGACGGTAATATTCATGAATTACTTTAGAAAAAAGTTTATTTACAATGAAAAAATGTAATCAAACAAACTTTGCTTTTAAAATAATTAATCTATTGTGTCTGGTTATCGTCTCCTAAACTAACGCTTCGTTGCGAGATATCTTGAGACACATATTTACGTTTTGGTCTTGTCTTTTAAGACGTTTGCAGGAGTTTTTGAGATATGACATTTTCGTGCATTTTGCTGACTCCAAACTTAAGTATGTTTATGCGCATATTAAATGAGAAAGTTTTACAAATAACCGCGGTGATTGGAGCCTGGAAATAACAATTCCAGTAATCAGAAATTTTAATTTCGGGATTAAGAAATAGATTTGGTGCAAGCATTTAACCGAATATTATACTTTTGAAAAACTCCAAAAAATGAAGGACCGGGGGCGTAAACTTCTCGTGATCATAACTTTTAAAACTAAAAGTCAATAGTAATTTAAGCGGTCATTAATAGAAACTAGCTGCCCAATCCCGTAAAATACAAGTCTTGATAAATCTATTCCGCACTTACCATTTTTATACGTATTTCTTAGCTTAATACTTTTTAGTAAGCGGTAGAAAAATGACTTGCAACTCACAAGCAACTCGGTTAGTTTTTTGGATTTAGGGGAAGCACAAGACCCTTGAACACTTACCGGGTCCTTAATATTATAAAAAAAAGGTTTTTCAAAAGTATGTCATGTTGGGTCTCAAAAGGGGCGAAATTTTATAATAATTTCAAAACTAATAATCATTTTATTAAAAAATTATTATTTTAAAGTTTATTGCAGAAAAAAGACCTTTTATAACTAAAAATGAAAGAAGTGTATTTTTTTGATAATAATTCACAAAAACATCTTAAATAATAATTTTTTTAAATTTATTTTAAATATTCATTATATATATATATATATATATATATATATATTATATATATATATATATATATATATATATATATATATATATATATATATATATATATATATACACAATAAAAATTAAATTGCGAAATTGTCTGTGTGATATTTTTTTCTTTCACTCATAAGTTTTATTTGTTACGCGACTTTTTGCGCGTGGAACGGAATTTATTAACATAACAAACATAAATTATTAACTGATTAGAAATAGGTTTCACTTGTTAACGACAAAAATAATTTAGCTAAAATACGCTACAAAACCTTGGGTCATTATGTACGCATGCTGTCAGATCGTAAATTTTTTGAAGAATATGATCAAAAAAAGGAGCAGAGTATGCTGGCAGGTAGACTTATTTAATAGCTTGTTCTTATTTAATAGCTTGGATTATTAAATTGCTGCTTATTTCTTGGTCTGACAAACTTTTAGCAGAAGAATTAAAAAAACTATACTTTTTATTCAATAAAATAAATAATATTATCTTTTCCTTTAAAAATATTCTTTTCGAGATTTTTATATAATTTAGGTTTTTTTTAAGTATCTGGTTGAAATACTTTTGAAGAACCAAAATTTACAAACGTTTGAGGGTTACAAAGAGTACGATTAGTAGATTACAATTGTCTTTTAATAACTCTAAATGTACTCTTTGTAACAAAATAACACTTTCCAGTGTTATTTTGTTATAAAGAGTACATTTAAAGGTATTAAAAGACAATTGTCAAAAATTGATGTTTTTTGCGATTTGCAAATCAATCTTTGACATTTGCAAATCATACCAAATCAATCTTTGACACCAGATCTATATGTGAGCGAATGTTCGAAAAAACGACCTCTTCCTCTAATTAAAATGCAAAAATAAACGACTTCTCTCTTTAATTAAAAAGCACAAATAATTAACCTTTTTTTGGCCAGATCTGGCATCTACTATTCCAAAAAGGTTATTCAGTGGTATAAGAAAAAAAGAGTCAATTTTGTTCCAAAGGATGCTAATCCACCAAACTGTTCTGAGCAGCGAGTTATTGAATCTTGCTGGGCAATTGTGAATGAAATACTGTGGTGAAGAGGCAAATGTGAAAACAGTGTTAAAAACTTTCGAAGTTAATGGATTAATGCTACAAAAAATGTGGCGCAAAGTAAAATTGTGGAGATGATGGAGGGCACTTTACAAAAAATTAAATTACTTGCATGTTGGAAAGTTAAGATTATATTTATTTTCATTGATATAAAATCTAATTATGTAAGCATCATTATAAAAAGAGAATCATTACAATTGGTTAAGTTGTCTTTGACAAAACTCAATTTAAAATCGTCCAAATTTCAACTGATCACAGTGATACAAGCAAGTTTATCATTAAACATTCACTCAGTAGGTCTGCTTATAGGGGTCGGAAAAACTGAAACTTTGTTATTTTATTTTTCGGTTTTTAATCAATTCTAATTGTTATACAAGACATTTCTATACAAAATTTTGAAAAAAGTTTAATTTCCCGACATCCCAATTATTCATCAAATCCTTGTCTTAAACGGAGTAAGGATCAGTAAAACTAATAGTTTTTTGTACTTGTCCTACTCAAATATTGAAAACTGCTCACGAAAACACATTTTGAAAACTTATTTGAGACATAAATTAATTACCCTTGAAGAGTCATTAAGAATTTGTATTTTGCAAGTTTTCTAGAAAAAGAATCTAAAAATTGTACTTAATAAACCTAAAAAAAAACAATGCAAAACTGTTTTAAATGTTTTTTAAAGATTTTTTCAAACCTGTCTTATAAAACATATAAAAGTTAGTTAAATATAATCTTATATAATTTTAAACTTTTTTTACAATTCACAAAGTGTTTTTTGAACAGTTACATTTATAAAATGGAAAGTCAATTTTATGTTCCTTCAAAACTAGTAAAATGCCTAGTAATTTTTCTTTCATAACTCTCGAGTCAATAGAGTCTTTTAATAACCAATCTAATAGCTCTTTAACAACAATCATTGACACAAACAAATCTTTTTATTAACATTTGCATGTTTTTATAATCAGGAGCATGATTTCACAAACTAGCGGGACTTTTTAAAGTGATTTATTTATTAAAAGCAGATTGTTGTCATCAACAAATTGGTAAGGAGTGGAAAACCTCGGACTGCTACGTTGGACAGACGTCAGACAGCTATTAAGATCATCAACAAGAAGAAGAGTGAGGAACTTTCCTTATATAGAATCTCGTGGGACTTCATTTGTTAATTGTATTAATTTAAATTCCATCCTATTAATAGAAGCAAATTATGAAGATCTATTTTGAAGATAAGAAGAAAACTATTGGAGTGTTTTTGAAGAATAGAAGAAAACCATTGGAGTGTTTTTGAAGATAAGAAAAAAACTCTGTCTCAGATGTCTTAGCAGTCCAATTTTCTAATTAAACATGGTCAACTGCTTTCATGGTTAACTGCATCAAATGCCATCTGGAAATCAACAAAAACATCACATGCAAACAGTTTATGTGAATACTTTTAATTTATTATAAATACTCATTAGGGACTCAACATCTCAACTTCAGCCACTGGATCAAAAAAGAAAGAACTTGTATTTTGATTATTTAGAAAATTTCTAAAATCATACTTTGGGATAATATTTTTGATAATATAGTTGTTAGTAGCTGTTACAAACAAAGTAGTTGTTAAAAATAGTAGCAATAGTGATTGAGTATATCAGGATATACCATATTGATTTACAGTTGTTAAAAATATTAGCAACATTTGGTGGAAATACCATCAGCTAATGACTGCCACTTAGCAGTCATTAGCTGATGGTATTTGGTCATTACCCCTTACTGGTTATCATTAATTATCATACTTTTGAAAAATTTAAATACCAACAAACTAGGATTTTAAATTTAATTTTAAAAATGATGTTGACTCTAATATATTAGTAAAATTCTTTATAAAGTTTTAAATCATTTTAAACCGAAGCAAATATCATTATTTAAAACTTTTGTTGTTTAGCGCTATTAAAAAAAAATGTTACCAAAGTAAAATTAACAACACTATTCTACCCTAATAAGCCAAAAAAACTTGTCTACACTTTTTCTCAAAAGCAAGTTATTGGTATATAGTATGAAGAGTACTGCACATATTTACTTAGCCAAAAAGACGTATATATTTGATTTTCATCCTGAAAACTGTTAAGAAAAAATATTTAGGCAGGTGCGCTTTTCAAATTAGTAAAACACTCAATATCCAACAATTATGAAATGCGAATTTCATATCATAAATCGTCATATCATAAATCGTCACGTCATTATCATAAATCCTTTATGATAATGCTGGAAAGAGTAAGATAATATTCTTCCTACACACTGCCTTTTGTTAAAAACTTGTCAATACCCTTAAATAATTGTTTGTTTTATAGATTTAATGATATATTTGATAAATCATAGCTTTCACAAAATAAAAACAATTTATAAATTTATCAACTTTTCACTTGGTTTTCGTCAATCTTCTCATTCGATATATGTTCGATAACTCTGAGAGGTAATCCATTAATTGACGTGTTATCTAAAACAAAATTATAACTTTAAATATTTCAGATATTTATTGGTATTTTTTTTTTTTTTAAGGTTATTATTATTATAAACAACGTGAGTTTTTTTTTAATTAGTTTGTTTTTATTTAATGTTAAGTTAAAATGTGCGTTGTGACAAAAACTTAAAATTATTACTAAAATAAAAGTAGTCGATTAACATTATTAATGTTTGCTAACTTTTATTAGCTAACTGTTAGTTAACCAAAATTGAGTCGACTATTTTTTTAGTCTAAACTTATTGGCTAATTTTTTAGTTAACTAAAGATATATGTTAATTATATAAAGTAATTAGTTTACATTATGTAATTATAACTAATTATTATAACTAATATAGAATATAACTAACTAATATATAATATAATTAATTTGGATTCATGATA